TGGCCCAACTGCGGTCAGGCAGCCGGGGCACCAACACACGCCCAGCGTGCAGATACCACGACGAGCAGACGGCCACTTCACGGGGATGACGGAGGGAGGGCAGCGCTCACAGACACGGCTGACTCCTCAGGAAACAGCCCCTGGTGGCCTGCGTCCAGCGCCCGCCCCACGCGCGGATCTACTCCCCGCAGCAACCCGGGAAAGTCGCGACTTCCACAGCACAGGCTGCAGCAAGATCACCCTTTGCAGTTCCTGGTCCTGGGCACTAAATCACTAGAAACCACGCTGGTGGCCCTCCTGGGCCCTCGGGGCAGGCATCCAGGGCTGGGAAGACTAATCCTGCTCACTCTGAGGACAGGCACTCACACGAGCATCCCCACGGCAGGCAGCTGGAGAGCAGGGGGGAAGCCGACACCCTGCACTTCCCGAAGCTCTGCCCTGGGCACCGGGCACACCCCAGCAGCAGTGGGGGGGGCTGCTTCCACGAGGAGCAGTGGGGAGGAGCACGGCCCGGCCACCCCGCGGTGAGGGCCGACGGGAGGAGTGACCTCAGGCCAGGGCTGCCACCCAGGCTCAGATGCGGTTGGACAGGTGACGTGGGGGACTCCACAGGGGAAGGTGGTCTCGACAGAGCAGGATGCGCCCCGGCTCTCAGGCTCCACCGCAGGGCACCCAAGTCCTCTGTGGGTTAGGCCCAGGGTCCAGTGCCAGTCTCAGCCTCCTCACTAACTGGACTCGTGGATTTGGGAACCCTGAGCCCCCGCCATCCCTCTTGGACTTCACATGCTACCTCTGACCCCAAGATAACTGGGGAGTCAGAGCATGTCTGCTTCCCTGGGGGGTCTGCCTGGGAGCCCGATGCGGGCACCCTGAAAGGTGGGTGAGTGCATGACACACCCCCAGCAGCTGTGGGGCTCTGATCCTCTCCAGCCTGGCCCTCTGTGCAGACAGCCGGAGCTCGGCACATGCTCCCATGTGCAGCCCTCACCGGCCACTGCAGGAGTCCACCTCTGCAGAGCTGCCCCCAGGGTGCTGCAGCTGCGTCCACTGCCTGGACGGGACGGGAGTGGGGAGGCACACTTATGTATTGTGGGCGGGGTCCTCCAGTCATCTCTGGCTGAGCGGAGGCCACTGTGGACACAGGCCCACACAAGCCCAGAACACAGAGCGGAGTCGCATCGTGGTCAACAGTGGAGGGCCAGGCCTTTCCCAGGGTGGCCGGGCCTCCTGAGAGCACTGTGGGACTCAGGCGCCCAGCCAGCGGAGAGGTTGGCACCAACAGCAGAGCGTGGGCATCGGTCAGGACACCCGAGAGCAGTGAGTGTCACGGCAGGGCCCAGATGCAGAGCCGCGGCAGAAGCCCCATCGTGAGTGCAAGAGGATGAGACCCGACGGGGACCAGTCATGTGGGGCAAGCAGCGCCACAGACCAAGACCGGGGGTGGCACCGTGGAGCTAGACACACCCACCGCTGGAGCCGCTGTCCTGGTGAGGGCCGGGTCACAGCGTGGGAGCCGGCCGAGGGGCTCCACCAAGACCTCACAACTGAAAGTTCTCCAGGAAACACGGAAAATGAACGTCTGCAGAGAAGCCTCGCGGGCCACACTCCGCGAAACGAGACCCTTCTGGACTTGGCAGCGTCTGGCTGACTTCCTCATGCTTCCTCCCACTGCCCAGCACCTGCTGCGGCTACCGGGACACACCACAGATGCAGCCTGGCACGGGGAGGTCTGTCTTCCCACTCACCCTCCCCAGAGAGGAGCCACAAAGTCTCGATCGCTTGCTCTTTAATGGGGTGTTGGACAGAGGACACCGGGGGGGGAGCTGGACTGTTCAGGGGAGCACCAGCAGATGGACACCAACGCTCACCGACGGCTATTCTGAGGGTGTGGGACAGCACCCCTCAAGGTGGCAGCTGGAGTTGGGTTACTGGACGTGGTGGACTGCGTAGAGGGTGGGTGATGGGCACAGAGTCAGGAGGACATGTGGTCCTCAGAGAACAGGGGCCGCAGCGAGTGGGCTCAACACCCCTCATCACTCATGCTCTGAGGCAACTCAGGGATGCGTTTGTCCCTACAGCGCCAGTCCTCGGCATCACCACTTGGACCACGTCACAACGTGATATAGCTGCACTTTCACATCTACCCGTCTACCTTCATGCCCACCACCCATTCACCTGCCATGCATCCATACACACAACCACCTGCCCACCCACCCACCCCTCATTCTTTCACCCACTCACCCAAGATGAATGATTGGGTAGATGGATGGACAGGTGGGTAGGTGGA